GTCTTTCTCCCCAACAGAAGTATCTCCTTCCCCTGAAGACCAGCCATGTTTCGCTTGAAACATAAATGAATGTACTACATCCTCTCGCTAGATTACAATCCAAGTCGAGAATGCAATAGGTGGCGCCCCCATCGCCGCTGTTAGTCCTTGTTTACGTCCACTTCGGCAAGGGATCTAATTATGCATGTTTGACTATCGCTACGTCATAACAAAGATGGCGGATTTCAATTTGAAAATGCCGATTTTTGGAACGTAATTGTTCGCAACTAAAACGCTTTTAGCTCAAATGAATAACCAGTTAGGACAATTCAAGCAAGGAACTTTTGATTTAAGCATACTTTTTCTAGACCGTACTTTCCCTTTAAGCGAAGTTTTGAGTTCTTCTATAAATACACTTTTGCCTATTCTTTGAAAATCCCTTGAATTTGGACATTACTACCGTAAATTTCACAGCAGTAACCGAAGGAATTCGATGAATATAAGTCGCATTAAATCCCTGTGTCTAGCTGGAAAGGGTCTCATCGACGTCAGCTTTTCGGTGGATAAAAAACCGATTTACATACACCATTACAGAAAACAAACAAGCAGACTGACAACTCCAAAACAAACATTTGTATTCACTTACAATTTGACTTGCCGTGACATTTTAAAACGGAACAGAGGTAAGTCTTCGGAGATTAATCGTCGTTGGAAATAAACCATACTTTGGGTAAGATCACCGAGTGTTTTTTTTTACGAGAAGAGCGTCCCATAGTAATTTAATTAACTCGTGCTTGTTTGTCCAGCACCAGTGCTGATATTTATTCAAACGTGTACTCTTTTTCCTTCATCAATTGACAGGTGTCACATCATGACAGTTATTTATGCAAAAATGTCTCAAATTTTGCTCAGAAGCCTTTTAAGTTAGCTTAAGTTTACAAATAAATGTTTCGGTGAAAGCTTTCTCTTTAATTTGGATATCTATTTTCTTTATCATCCCCTGGCTAACAAATTGTTGAGTTTATGGAGGATTTTCCCGTAATTAAACTCGTAATTATGGCTCTAAATCATTTGGGTTCTTATGGCAATCATTTTTTTAATGTGTTAGAAAAAAATAAAAATGTTATTGACACTTTGGTCCGTATTGGGAAAAACTGTGCCCTTTGTCTTGAGTACCGCCCCCGAGCGGTATCCAAGACATCGGGCACAGTTTTTCCCAATACGGACCTCCCACTGGTCAATAACATATATGTACACGAACACATTGAAAAAGCGTTTTTTTTTCCTGCTTGAAACGACTCTTTCGCACGAAGTTTCCACTTGCCATATGTTGTTGCCTTTTAATTCATAGTTTTCTATTAAGTTCTTATGCAAGCTTGCAAGTTTTGTGGACAAATAAATCATTGGCTATGTGAAGAAAGAACAACCTTACATGCCAGAAGGCCATCAACTAAGATTCAAAAACGTTTCTTTTCTAAGTTACTTCATCTCGAATCAGGGTTTAGATCACTATCCGTATCTGAGGATGGAAAACGATGGAAACATTTGACAGCTGTAAAATGCCGTTTAACGCCACTAGTGTTATAAAATACGACCCCTTTCCGGCTGTATTATTTTATCAAAGATAGTTTGAGGCACTTCTTGTAAATAATCAATGTAATCTCGAGACAATTTTCATCTTTCAACGCATGGCAAAACCAAAAGTAATGACATTTTAATCAAATATCAGATATTTATTAAGACAATCAATAAAAATTAACATTTAGCCCTTTTTTTGCGACGCAATATCCCAAGTCTGATTCACGCTAGTGATGAGAGCTTGTAGAAATAAGCTTAACGACATAGGAGGGTTATTTTGTTTTCTAAATTTCTGGTGTAAACCCGTGGGCATAACGACGACATAATGGGATCCAAATGATATATGTATCGCGACAGCTAAATCGTTTACAACCTTGTTGACATTTTCGATATGAAAGGTAACTACAAAACGATATTAGCATAAAGGCATAAAGAAAAGATGCCTGTGTGATCATGTCGCAATTGTTATTATTTTTGCATGCTCATATCGTTAAAATAATGACAGAATGACCCCCCAAGTCCTTACGCCCGTATGCCCTTATGAAGGTCAAAGTTATCATAGGTAAATAAAATTTTCTATCTATCTGTCTGTCTACCGATCTAGCAATCTCTCTCTTTATATAATTACAACTACTCTGTTGATAAAACCATGTTCTTGGGTTTCACTGAACAAGTAATTTGATCCTTGAGGTTTTCGATAATAAAGTTGCAAGGGACGGTCAACTTTAAATTGAGCAAAACTACAGCTCACCTTTTTCTGGGCTTCGCACAAATCGTTTTCCAGTTCATGCCGTTGCTGCGCTTGTACACAGATGGTCTCCCGCCTTTCAGCCTTCATCTTGTCAATCAGCCTCTGCTGGTCCATCCCACGATTAGTGTCTCTCAAAAGAGAGTCTTTGAAGTGTTGTAATTCTTCGAGGACAGATGTGTGTTCCTTTCTGTGACAATAAGTTAAAAGCATGAATGTTGTGGGACAAAATAGACAAATAGCTAAATGAATGCACCGCCAAATTTTTGACCACGTAAACTTTAATTTAATAATAATAATAATAATAATAATAATAATAATAACAATAATAATAATATCATAATGGACGCATTCTATGTAAGAACATAATGGACGCATTAGGGGGATGGTGTCGTGACTTAGAAGCCGAAATGAATCAGTTGGTCGGAAACAAGAGTTAGGGAGTTCTTCAAAATATGCAGAAGGCTGTAATCTCGGGAACACTAAATATCTCTCGGACATTTAAAGTTGTAACATGAATAATGAACATCGCTTTCTATTTAACTCTTTGCCTTCAAAAATTCTGTGGATTATTAGAAACTTAGAAAGTGATCGTCACTGATTAACTCTTTCATGGCCGAAAAAAGTAAAAGGTTTTTAAAGATTATATAACTACTATTTTAGATTCGGATACCCGAATACCTTTTTTTTTCTCGAGAGGTTTTTTTTTTTTTCACCATAGTTAACGGGCTACGCCCATGCGCCCCATCCTACTATTCTTACTGTATATAGCATACAAAAGTTCTAAACTGCTGCATAATAATAATCAAAACAATTGTCCTTAACTTAACTTTACTCATTCCGTTGCTGCGCTTGTACACAGATGGTCTCCCGCCTTTCAGCCTTTTAAGTTTTTTATAAATTTTAGGTTTGAATGAACTACGAATTTACGGAGTGATATTACGTATAAACTCCAGGGCTCGACACAAACGGTAGTCCATTAGCCACAGACTAGTAGAAATTCAGTTTTGGCCAGGGGTTTTCGATTTCCGCTCACCAGTTTGGCTAGTAAACAAACTGAAATTGTCGCAACATCTAAAAACATCTAAGATGTCACTTACCACTTGGCTAATAAGTTGAAAAGTTAGTGTCGAGCTCTGATTACTCATCTTATATTTTTTCCTATTATTTTTAGTGTCCCCAAATGATCTTTTTAAGGGGCCCATCGTTTAACTTTTGATGGGGGGAGGGGTGGGTGATTTCTGGTCATCAAGAGTTTTTTAACCAAACAATCTGCTGCGCAGGATATTTTTTTGCGATCTTTTGGTACATTTTTTCGGTTACATTTGGGCTGCATGCAACTTATTTTCTTCCAACAAGCGCTTGCAGAAATTTTTTTCAAAATCACCCCCACCCCCCCTCAAAAAATAAATGGTCGGCCCCTAAGCAGCAGATATCGACACTTAAATAAAGTTATGTTACTTCATCCTTTGACTCCTAACAGTGACTAGCATCTAATTTTTTCTTAAAATACCCCCCTCCTCCCCCCCTCCGAATCTTACATTCAGATCAGGAGAAAAAAGGAAATGGTCACTAACTGAAGTGAACTTGATTAACAAATTCTCCTTGTCAACACCTTAGGAGGGAGTGTGTACACCTTAGGAGGAGGGGAATGTGTACAGAACACTATGGAGAATGTAGATACTGATGTCTAGGTGTTAAGAATCAAAGGAAGTGTCGGCGAAATAAAAATTCGTTTTATGAAAAATGTAGGGAGCCAAAATAGGGACTTAGTGTCCATCTTCTGTGGAGTTCGCATCATACAGGTTCCATTGAACAACCTTTACGTTTCTCACCTGAGCATTTCGTGAGTTTTCTTTTCCTCTCCCAGTTCTTTAAGAAGTTCTTCGTTTTCTCTCTTTGCCTTATGCAGTTCCAGCTCAGAGGAAAAGCTTCCTGATAGCTTTTTTGATTGACATTCCGTTGACTTCATCTCGTTCAGTTCTTTCACAAGTTCTTCGCACTTGTCTCTTTGCTCCTTCAGCTGTTCCTCGCACAAGTCATAGGCTTGTTTGGACTCTACCAGTTGCAACTCTAAACTTTTTAATTGCTTTAGTTTTTTCTCCACTTCTTGCTTGGTCTCCTCTACTTCAGATTCTAAAATGCCATTTCGATTTTGGACGTTTTCCAGGGATAACTTCAACGCATTGCATTCATCTGCAATTTCTTGGGCTCGCTCTTTTTCTGCACTCAGTTCAGAGGTGAACTTTTCGTCGTCTGCATCTGTCTCCTTTTCATGCTGTTCGTCTGGCACCTGTCCTTCGCTAAGCAGTTTTTTATTCATGTCTTGGGATACGTTTTGAAGCTGTTTCAACGCTTCACTAAGTCGATTTTGAAGTTCTTCACACTGTTGTAAACAACAAAGATCATTCCATAAATTTTTCCGCTTCATAAGTGAAAATATTTTGTTCAAATTTACAGCAATTCATGATTTAGATGGCTGGCATAAATTATTTCAAAACATATCTGAAGGAAGGTACGATGAATGGATAAGAGCAAAAAAAAAAGGATAAAAAACGGGAAGGACAGCAAGTAAGTACGTAATAGATTGGTAGGGAAAATTGTCCCCTCGTCAAGGTCACCACAAATAAAACAAAAACAAACAAACAAATAAATAAACAAATCACAACGAACTAGTTAGAGAAGCAAATGAAACAGCACAAACACGTCGATAATCTCGCACAACGATAGCGCATCAATAGCAGACACATGTTACCTTTTGTTCGTGTGATGTTATGAGCTCTGCTCGCAGCCGTAGCTCATTCTCAAGTTCATATATGTGTTCCTTATAGCGCTTCACTTTTTGTTGCATCTCTAGCATATCCTTCTGCAACTCAGCGGACTGTGGACGAAAAAAAATATATTACAAGTTTCTGTTTCACAACTATTCACCACAAAATAATAATGATGATAAAAATGATAATAATAATATAAACAATAATATAGGCAAAATAAGAAAAGTGAGTACAGGGGCTTTCAAGACACGGACCACATGAAGGCTAAGGTCCAGACCTCTTAACGCAGTATCTCGAGTAAGAAGTTTATCTGGCCCTTGTGGTTTCCAATGTTTTGCAAAATACAAAAAAGAAAAAACAAAACAAAACAAATACAAAAACAAAATAAATAAATAAAAGATGAATGAAGAAATGAACGAAGAAATGCCCCACGAAAACGGCGAGAAAGAACATCTGGTGGCAAACGACACAAACAAAATGACAGATATCTAATGACTTACATCAGAAATGGACTCTGATAAATCGTTTTTAATCTCATCTTTTTCTTTCTTTACCCTGGCGGAGATAGCAAAAAAGAAAAAAAATCCAATTTATCAAAAACTGTGACATAAACATTTCCTAGTGTAAGGGATGAGCAACATTTGTAGCTTTCATTTCAATGAAAAAATTAAAATCGATCGCGCATTTAAGCATGGCGTTAACAGCAACCACAATAATTAAAAAAACACATGTAATGATATACATGAAAAAATCGCGCGCGTCTCATTGGCTGAAAACGACGACATTGGTGATGTAACACGAGTGCAAGTTACAAATAGCGCACACTGTCAGAATTTCGTTTGTCTTGACTTGGTGTGTAGCTTTTTTCACGTACATTATCAACAAGTAAGAAATGTGAAATTTGGCGTAAAGAAGACTTTAATTCAAAATTGCACTCGCCCTTCAGGCTGGTGCAATTTTGTTGTCTTTGAAAAATTTACTCGTGCTTATTGACGCCAAAATACCCTAGAAATAATGTTTATAACTATACTAACACTTACTGAATTAACAGTTGTTCATATTCTTCTTTCTCGTTGATGACGTTTTCGAGCTGCACTTGAAGATCAGACTGCAAAAAAAGGGAAGGAAATAAATTCACCGTTAACGAGCGGAGTTCATCACGCCAAAAATAGTCTCGTATCTAGCCATATGCTACCCACCTTAATAGGTTATGCATAGTTGGGGCTGGTTATTTACACAAGGTCTGACCCAACCACAATTTTACGCAATCAGTGGGCCTTAAACTTTGTCTGTAAGAGGATTATTTCATCAAAATGAAGAATCCTTCCAGTATAGCCTTAAGCTTTCTTGACTTTGTTCAAAAAAAGAAATGTCCAGATAAAAGGTGCAGCTAAATCGAGGATCGTTTAGGACGCGGGTTTGTTAAATAACAGCTAAACTTCGTTCAAATAATCGGTCCCAAAAGTTTAGAATAGAACTTAATGGAATTTTTGATAAGAAAGAGCTTTCCAAGAGCATCCCTTGTCAGATCTCGAACAATCAATAACACAACCAAAACAACTAAAGCGCTCACCATTTTGGCCTCAAGTTCCTGTTTCTGTTCAATGATTTGCTCCAACAATGTGTCTTTTTCTTCAACGCCGCATGAAGTTATATTCCGCTCATCTTGAAGTTCCTGTATGTCTTTTTTCAGTTGCATAATTTCCTCGTCCTTTTCTTCCTTAAATTGCTCAAAGCATGCTTTAATGTTTCTTGTCTGTTCGCTTAACTCTTTACCCTGAGCTGCATCTGTTTCTAAGGGCGTCACGATGTCTTCCAAGTTGACTCTTTGTTCGGTTACCTCAGCCAACATTATTTTATTTTCATCCTCATTGCTCAGCTTTCCTTTCCCCATTTCTTTCATCTTCACGGAAGTATCTTCTTTGACGATGGACAAGCTTTCCTCCAACTTAGATCTCTCTCTCTCTCTTTCAACACAAGTTATTTCCTCCTGTAGCCGCCTTAGGTCGCTCTCGAGACTAGCGCACTTTTCCTTCCAAGATTCTATGCTTTCTTTTTCTTGAGCAATCTCCTCCAATGCCTTTTTAAGAGATGTCACTTCCACTTTGTGATTCTCCTCTAGCTGTAACTTCTGTTCAATCACCTCTGTCAGCATTCCTTCTTGCTCATCAACACTGGCTAACCTTTCCTTCATTTCCATCACTTGATTCTCTAGTTCCCTGATCTTCTGTGAAGCTTCTTCTCCGGCAAACGTCATTTTCTCCTCGAGGCGAAGCTTCTCTTCACT